TTTTGTTACCATTGCCATGCATTATAAGACTGATAGACTCCAACAGTTGGACTTAAAAATCATCAAATGTGTTCTACTGAAGAAACAAAGTCACCTACATCTTGGATGCCCTGGGGGTAAGCAGATAAACATCAAATTTTCATTTTTGGGTGAACTATCCCTTTAAGAGTCTCTCAGAGAGAGGCTCGGAAGAGAGGGGTGGGGTCAGCAGAGCTCATTAGCATTTAAAGGAACATGCAACAAAATGACTTGCTGTAAACAGCTGTTTTTGACTGGGTAAAAATGATGTTGTTTTACACTACCATTGAGAATTTTTAACCAAAGAATGTTAGAGACTTTTCATTAAGACCCTAAAGAATCATATCAACTTGTGGAAAATGGGCATCCAACGACCCCTTTAAAAGACAATATCTCCGTTTGCATCGTAACTTTGCAGATATTGTTTATGCTCAAACAGCAACATTACACACTAACTAAAGTTAAAAAAGTGAAATCACAATTAACCACCCCTTTAATATTTATGAATTAGTTCTTGATAGATATATAAAGAAATGTTTAACCTAGTTAATATATAATAATAATACACATTTAAAATAAATGTCTTTAAAAACATTTTTAAGTCTTTCTTGACGACGGTTATAAAAATATAAATATAATATAACATAAAATGTGGACTGTGCACATGTGTGTTCAAACTAGAATTAACTAGTTTTTCCTTTTCTTTATCATGGGCAGTCATACTTGTCATTGACCCCAAGACTGATTAGCTGACTTTTAGTTCACTAGTTGCTTTTGAAAATATCTAAACATGAAATATGTAGATATAATTGGCATCCTTAATGATGACTGTACTTATCCCAGAGAAAAAATAGTTGTGTGTTGTTAACTTAGCAGAAGCAAATTTATGTAATAATGTCACACAGCACTTTCATCATTTCAACAAAGATAACTGTATTAGTTATTTAGGGTTTTATTTTTGTTTAATGAGTTTTGACTGCTTCCACCTGTCCTGGAAGTGTAAAGACACTGTAGTGTAGAGCGTCAATTATGCAAACGCTCAAAATTGAATTCGACCATGGTAATCAGTAGGGCTGGGTATCAATTCAGATGTCCCGATTCGATTCGATTTCGATTCGCAAGCTCTTGATTCGATTCGATTCTCGATTTTTTTTTATTACATTCAGTGAATATAGTTTTAATACAAATGCTATTGATATTTCTAAAAAATTAACAGTAAACATCAGTTTACAAATGGTGAATTAATAAAAAGAAATTAAGAACCACATGTCTGTATTTTAAGCCTATTCTTTTTTTTTTTGTATAGGGTCCTTTTTAAAACAATAATAGGGCCCTATAAAATGTTCTTAATTTTTCTGGTAATCAGATGAAGGCATAAAACATTAATTTAATTTATCCTAATCAAATGAAAATTAAACCCTTTTATTTTTTGGCAAACAAAGTGCTGCACAACAGAGGTTTACTGTTAAAATTAAAAAGAAAACAGATGTGATTATTCCTGAATGAATGACAGGCTTTCTGTTGTAACATCGCGCAAGGTAAATAAGAGTGACATCTAGTGGAGAAGACTAATGATAAGATTCACGTTAATCAGATCTTGTTTTAAATGTGTGCTGAAATAAATACTGGAAAAGATCACGGCTTTTGAGAATCGATATCGAAGTGACGTCATTTAAAAAAACGATTAATCGGAAAATAGATTTTTTTGCCCAGCCCTAGTAATCAGTCACCTGATCATATGTACACTTCCACTCACAGTGCTGACATTCGTGAGTTTGTTTGAGTTACTGTTAGTGTCTTTGCTGCATTAGCACAATTGAGAGGCACGTTTAGCATGGACATTTCTCTTCCTTTGGAGTTGGCACTGTATCCAAGTGTCTTAGTCACAGTTGCCATTTGGTTTTGCATACTTAAATGCGTATTAAATGCGGTCAACAACATAAATAAAAGTTGCGGTGCCATTTTGAATACCCTTTTTTTTTGTCTACTAATAATGATTTCTTGTCAGTGCTGTGCTTTATTTTATCTGCTAATTGGTAACCTGTTGCTGAGGTAGCCATTCATTTAGTGCATGGATTGTGTCAAAGCTAAGATAGGGCATGGCAGCAGTCGTGTGACTGGTCAACATCATGTGAACACACTTGCCCAGCAAATGGTTCTTCTTTCACGGTATTGACTCAAGTTGGTTAACAATCTGTGGATGATCAATGGCTGTAAAAGTCATTTTAGAAGAATGTAGAATTAACAAATATGGGTTTTTCAATAATACAGACCAGGAATGTGTTTCCTAAAGCATTGTAAGTTTAAGTAGATTGTAGAGACCATTGGTGCCAATGGTTTCCCAGATCTATTTGACTTTTGGGAAATACAGCCAAGGATGTCTGATGACTGATATAATGTGGATGATAGCAGATGAGATGTATATAAAATTGCTGAAATTAAACACTCATTTTCCACAATATGTACTCAAATTCACTAAAATATTTGAACATTGACAATTGACAAGGCTGTCAGTAGATTTTGGAATTGACAGATTTGTTTAAACTGGCAAATAGA